TAAAATGTACTTCACAAAATTGATTCTATAATTTTGCAAGAAATGAATGATGCACATATTTTTCTGCGTTAAAATCAAATCAAATCAAATCGTAGATAGACAGTAATCAGGGTATTTAGTTATACATTAAAACTCTTATTCATATATAATAAAAATACGCTAACATTTTCATTAAGTAATTGAAAGTTAATTCCTAAATTCTCATTACTTTCATAAAAATTTCCGCCTCCCACTTTTTGATAGGACGTACTATTATATGACGATAAATACTTTTTCTATTTAATTGGTCTAGTATTAAATATTTGATGTTTTTCTTAGATTGAGAATGATATCTATGATGTAAATAATAATATTAAACATTGCCTCTGCAATGTCTTTGGAGAGACTCGAGATCATCTTTTTCTTAGATGTGAAGTTAGTGAGCAGATATAGAATCTTGTCATCAAAAGGTTAGGTTACAGGTCATTTACCTTTCACACTTAAGACTGCTTTCTCTTGTTGGCTTGGTCAAAGAGATAGCACAGTTTCTAGGACTCTGCAACGTCTAGTTGGTCAAGCCACAATATATGGTATATGGTTGGAACGGAACAAGCGTCCACACAACAACTGCTCTTCAACGCCTCATGCTATCTTCAAGATCATTGACCGTCTTATCTGAGACGTAATTCTAGCCAAAAGAGCAAAGAAATCATTTGGTGATCTAATGCAAATTTGGCTCATCTACGAGTAGAAAGGCATCCCATTCGTATTACTTTCCTAGGATTCTCCTTGTTTTTTATTCTTTTTTGGCAAGGATTTTCTTATTTGTTTAAACCTTTTGTAATATTTTACAAAATTCATTTTTAACGAAATTCAAATACTTAGAGAAAAAAAAAGCCTATATATGCATATAGCGCTGAAAACAGAGAGGTTTAGCTTGCAAATTTTTTTTTTGTTTTGATAAAGGGTATACAATTGAAATACATAAAAGAAGTTACAAGGATATAATTGTTTATATCATATAGTTCAAAAAGAAGTTGAAGAAATAGAACATATAAGAGAATAGAGAAAAAAAAGAAGATAAAGTCAGCAAAGACATGCATGGATGTGACTGAGCTTGCAAATTCTTGGTAAATGCAAATGAGCAAAGACATGAGTAGGCAAATACAATTTCAAAAAGAACAGAAAAACAATCTTTGTGTAGGAATAGAAATCAGTGTGTAGCGCTAGGGAAAAGTAAACAAACATGGAACATGAAAATTAGATCGATATCATATTGGATTTCTTTGTAATTTCTTTGTAGGTACGACATGCAAGGTCGGAACAAATTGTGAAAGGCACGAACGTGGGTCGAAGCATAAAGAATCTTCCTTGTATTCGACACGATCTTCATTATTTCCAAAAGGCTTTCTAATCATAGGATTGGGGCCCTTGTAGACGAAAGTACCATGTTTACGTGTTCCATAAGATTTTGTATCTGTGCGAAGATTACAAGCGAGGAAACATTTGCGGTCTAAGTCCCATAGATAGATGATGTCGACATCAAAACAGTTGATTCCCATTGGAACACACTTATGGCTAAGCCCTATGCATGCCATGTTGATTTCCCATGCTTTTTCCCAGTTCCAAGAATCAGTCTTGAGCCTCCAAACCCTAACATTAGAGCTCTTGACCTCGCCTATCAATCCAACATCAATTAACACAAAATATCCTTGCGAGGTGGTGCATATCTTCTTACCACATGGAGAGGGGCAAATACTTGTAGAGCATCGGAACTCAGTTTGTTCCCACTGAGTGTCTTTCATCCTGGAGGGTAGGCATATGGCACGAACTTGATCATCATGAGAGAAGAAATCATGGAGGATAAGACGGCGAGAGCAATCAAGCCAGTGAAGTTTCCCATTCAAAGAAACGGGATTCGATGCCCTGCGCATAAGAACATCAGGACAAGAGACTTGTTGAACACTCCATTCACCCGTATCCGATGAAAAAATCTCAAAAGTCCATGCTCGAGAAAAACCCAACTTTAGTGAGTCATTATATATCCGAACCACCTTGTAACCTAAGAGGACACCATTGTGCATTCGTGTCACAAGTCCCGAATCATTGAAATCTTTATGGTCTGGCAAATTCACTCTAGGAGGGAGTTGAATCCATTGTGGTAGCACGGGATTCCCGATGTAGTAACGTATCATCATGTCCTCCTCATCGGGTTTGAGACGCAGCAAAACCAATCCATCAGCGCAAGCCACAACCGTAATCTCTTTGATCTTATTATTATTGTTTTGAGTAAAACTACTTGCAAAAGACAGATTATGAGAATTACCATGCGATGACTCACGTGGTAGATCGAGTTTCAGTTCCTCCAAACAAGAGTGTATGAGTCCATAAGTTCCGTGCAGGATTGACCAATTAGAAGAGGTTGAATTGGAGTTGCTATGGAAGAGATCGCGGAAGAATTCAGATTCTATAAGCGACTTCCATTCTCTACACACCAACTTGAATCTAATAATACTTTGCAGCGGTACTCTTGCGATTATGTTTATCACTATTTCCTCCGGAAGATCCATGTCTCTCTCCTTTGTTTGCTTCTTATGTCTTTTGATCGTTCGTATCTCTAACCTCTGTTTTTTTGGGGTGCTATAAGTTTTAGGGTTTTATATTTATCATTTAATTTAGCAAAAAAAACTTTATCGTTTAGAGTTTACTTTA